TCTCTTCTAAATTATTTAACGCGGTCGATTAATCATTTACAGGAAAAAAATTAAAAAAAAAAGAAAAGAAGAAACAAGTTTCGATTTAAGATTCAGTTTACGGGTATTAGGACACATTAACCGTTAAGTTAAGGTATTAATAAGTAAGGGGGGAAAAAAGAGCTTACCCTACAAGACGAAGCCTCTCACGGCTACCTGCACCCACAGTTTCAATTAAATGGCCGGAAGGTCACAAGCAGCTTCTAATACTGTTGTTGGTAGAGCATGGACCACACAACCAGACATGAGTAACTGCCCTTGCGGCACTGACAGCCACGACAAAGATAATCGTCCGTTCACACCGCCTTACCGACGTATTACCTTGCACGGCCAATAAACTGCTCTCCAGGCGTGACGTCACCCGTCCGTCCGTGCAATCAGACGTTCCATCTCACTGAGCAATCGGATTACGTCCGCTGTCCAATGGCTGACGTGAGCCCGCCCACTGGGACACGCCCACCATCGGCGGTCGCTTAGCAACCGAGCCGAGCCTTCGTATCTACTTCAACGCTCTTCGCTGTCAGTCGAAAGTAATGAGCATCGAGCGACGTCGCAGCAAATTAGGCAGATGGTTTTTTTTCCGTCTTTTTTCCGCTTTTTTTTATTTCTTCCCTTCTCTCATCTGCTCGAGAGAGCCATTGGAAAACATGCTGTGTCACGCTAAGGCGTCAAAGTAGAAGACGGGTGAGTGGCGAGGGGCGAAGCAGCGGCTTTGCCACGCTTTGTTTCATTGTGACGTCACGTGTGCATTCATCGGCGGAAAGACACGATGACTTTAACAGTTGATTTGACTTGAAGGGAGAGACAAGCTTGTCTAAGCCGTCATTTCATTTGGTCATTGGGAATTGTCTTTTTTTCTATTTTTTTTTTATTTTCCAGGAAACCATGAAAGTGATCGCGCTAAAGAATCATTACCAGTCAATGGATGGCGCAACGCTACATTTATTTTATGCATCCGACTTTTCTTCTGTTACTATTTAATATTTTACGATATGCCCGACTCGGAAATAAATAAAAAAAACAATAATAAAAGTCGCCTACTCTACCCTCACTTATTAATTAAAATAATTTAATAACCAACGATTGTAGAGCTGCTGAAGTTTTTAGTTTCTGTTATTTTAAGTGTAAACGAAATTCCCTCCTCCTTTAATTATTATTATTTTCTTTTTTTAAAGTTAAATTAAATTTTTTTTTTCAATTATCAAATAAATTAGAAGTTGAAGACTTTTAACAATCGCTCAAAAGAACAAATAAGCCAACTGTTAGCCTATGTTAATTAAGTTTAACTTTGAAGGAATTTTAGATCCTTCGGGCAAATATCCTTTGTTGACTTTTTAGCAAAGGATTTAACTAACTTACTATTAGAAAAGTTTTTTTTTT